AGAGACGGGGTTTCACCATTTTGACCAGGATGGTCTCGATCTCTTGACCTCGTGATCCACCCGCCTCGGCCTCCCAAAGTGCTGGGATTACAGGCGTGAGCCACCGCGCCCAGCCCACACCTCGTTTTATTATGCTTCACTTTATTGTGCTTTTGTGTTACCCAGGCTGGTCTCAAACTACTGGGCTCAAGCGATCCTCCCAGCTCAGCCTCCCAAAGTTCTGGGATTACGGGTGTGAGCCACCATGCCTCCCCCAGCCCCTTCCCCATATTATTATCATTTTTATTCTTGTTTTTTTCTTTTACAAATTGAAAGTTTATGGTAACCTTGCATTGAATAAGTCTGTTGATACCATTTTCCAACAGCATGTGCTCATTTCCTGTCTGTCACATTTTGGTAATTCTCAAAGTATTTCATAGTTTTTCATTATATCTGTTGTAGTGATGAGTGAACTTTGATGTTACTGTTATTATTTTGGGGTGCCACAAACCACACTCATATAATCCACTCGCATATAGATTATAAACTTAATCCATAAATGTTGTGTCTGTTCTGACTGTTCTACCGACTGGCCATTTCCTGACTCTCTGCCTCTCCCTGTCCTTGAACCTTCCTATTACTCCCTGAGAGAGAGAGAGTGTGTGCCAGTGAGTGACGAGTCTCTCTCTCTCTCTCTCTCTCTCTCTCTCTGACACACACACACACACACACACACACACAGATAGATAGATAGATAGATAGATAGATAGATAGATAGATACATATATGCATACATCATTTTTGGGAGACAGAGTTTCACACTTGCCCAGGCTAGAGTGCAGTGGTACCCCAAGTAGCTGGGATTACAGGTGCCTATTACCACGCCTGGCTAACTTTTGTGTTTTTAGTGGAGACTGGGTTTTTAGTTCACCCAGCCCAGTTGGCTGGATTGGTCTTGAACGCCTGACCTCAAGTGTTCCACTGGCCTGAGCCTCCCAAAGTGCTAGGATTATAGAAGTGAGCCACCTCACCCACCCCCTGAGACATAATACTGAAATTAGGCTAATTAACAGTCCTACAGTGGCTTCTATGTGTTGGCTTCTAAGAGTCACCTATCTCTTTAAATCAAATGCTAGAAATGGTTAAGCTTAGTGAGGAAGGCGTGTTGCAAGCTAGGCCTATTTGACTAATCAGGTTGTGAATGCAAAGGAAAAGTTTGTGAAATTAAAAATGCCACTTCAGTGAACACATAAACAGTGAGAAAGTGAAACAGCCTTATATATATGGAAAAAGTTTGATTGGTCTGGACAGATGATCAAACCAACCACAACATTCTCTTCAGCCAAAGCCTGATCCAGAGCAAGGCTGTAATTCTCTCATGAGTTAATATTATGAAGGCTGGCCGGGCGCGGTGGCTCAAGCCTGTAATCCCAGCACTTTGGGAGGCCGAGGTGGGTGGATCACGAAGTCAAGAGATCGAGACCATACTGGTCAACATGGTGAAACCCCATCTCTACTAAAAATACAAAAAATCAGCTGGGCATGGTGGCACATACCTGTAATCCCAGCTACTCAGGAGGCTGAGGCAGGAGAATTGCCTGAACCCAGGAGGCGGAGGTTGCGGTGAGCCGAGATCGCGCCATTGCACTCCAGCCTGGGTAACAAGAGTAAAACTCCGTCTCAAAAAAAAAAAAAAAAAAAAAAAATATATATTATGAAGGCTGAGGGAGCTTAGAAAACCGTAGAAGGCCAGTCCCGGTGGCTCATATCTGTAATCCCAGCACTTTGGGAGGCCGAGGTCACTTGAAGTCAGGAGTTCAAGACCAGCCTTGCCAACATGGGGAGACCCTGTCTCTACTAAAAATACAAAAACTAGCTGGGCATGGTGGTGGATGCCTGTAGTCCCAGGTACTCAAGAGGCTGAGGCAGGAGAATTGCATGAACATGGGAGCCGGAAGTTGCAGTGAGCTGAGATCATGCCACTGAACTCCAGTTTGGCGACAGAGTGAGATTCCGTCTCAGAAAAAAGAAGCTGCGAAGAAAAGTTTGAAGCTAGCAAAGGTTGATTCATAAGGTTTAAGGAAAACTGTGTTTATTAACACGAAAGTACAGTGTGAAGCAGCAAGTACTGTTGTAGAAGCTATAGCAAGTTACCCGAAGATTTGGCTGAGATAATTGAAGAAGGTGGCTACACTAAACAGATTTTCTTTCTTCTTTTTTGGGAGACAGGGTGTCGCTCTGTCATCCAGGCTGGAGTGCAGTGGTGTCATCTCAGTTCCCTACAACCTCCACCCCCTGGGCTTAAGTGCTCCTCCAACTTCAGCCTTCTTAGTAGCTTGGGATCACTGGTGTGCACCACCATGCCTGGCATTTTTTTAATATTTTTAGTGGAGACAAGATCTCCTCAGTGGCAGCTGGTCTCAAACTCCTGAGGTCAAGCAATTCGCCTACCTCAGCCTCCCAGAGTGCTGGGATTACAGGCGTGAGTCATCGTGCACAGCCAGTAGATTTGCAGTGTAGTTGAAACGACCTTCTATTGGAAGAAGATGCCAACTAGGTATTTCATAGAGAAGTCACTGGCTTCAAAGTGTTGAAGGGTATACAGTACTCACTGTTTTTAGGGGTTAATGCAGCTGCTGACTGGAAGTTGAAGCCAATTCTTGTCATTATAAAAATCCTAGGGTCCTTATACATGGAGGAACAAAGCCTGAATGATAGCATATCTGTTTATAGCATGGTTTGCTGAATATTTTAAGCCCCCGTTGAGACCTGTTTAAAAAAAAAAAAAAAAAGGCGTTTCAGAATATTACTGCTCATTAACAATGCATCTGATCATATGACAGTTCTGATGGGGATGTATAAGAGAGATTAGCCAGGTGCAGTGGCTCACACCTGTAATCCCAGCACTTTGGGAGGTGGAGGTGGGTGGATCACGAGGTCAGGAGTTCCAAGAACAGCGTGACCAGCATGGTGAAATCCCATCTCTACTAAAAATACAAAAAGTAGCCTGGTGTGGTGGCAGGCGCCTGTAATCCCAGCTACTTGGGAGGCTGAGGCTGGAGAACTGCTTGAACCCAGGAGGTGGAGGTTGCAGTGATCTGAGATGGCGCCACCACACTCCAGCCTGGGTCACAGAGCGAGACTCCCTCTGAAAGGAAAAAAAAAGATTAATGTTTGTTTTCATGCCTGTTAATACAATATGCATTCTGCAGCCTGTAGATCAAGGAGTAATTTTGTCTTTCAAGTCTTATCATTTAAGAAATAGATTTCATAAGGCTGTAGCTGCCATAGTGATTCCTCTGATGGTTTTGGACAAAGTGCATTGAAAACGTGCTACAAGGAATTCTTTATTCCAGATGCCACTGAGAGTATTTGTGATTCATGGGAGGAGGTCAGAATACCAACATTAATAATAATTTGGAAGAACTTGATTCGAAGCCTCATGGACGACTTGGGAGGGGTTCAAGAGTAGAGTGGAGAAAATAATTGTAGATGTGATGAAAGCAGCAAGAGAACTAGAATTAGATATAGGCTGAGCACAGTAGCTCACTCCTCTAATCCTCTAATCCCTGAGGCAGGCAAATTGCATGAGTCCAGGAGTTTGAGATCAATCCGGGCAACATAGCGAAACCCTGTCTCTTCAAAAA